GTCTGGCGCTGTGAGTTATCATCTTTGCCCTAGAGGTAAGCTTCTTTGCCGACTTAGAGTGTCCTGAAAATTATTAATTATTTAACGTCTGTGCAGAAGCTTGTTTTACCTAACACTAGCTGAGCGCGCATCGCCTTCGTATTTCAAAAGGCATAATTTTTTACCCGTTCTTACAACCTTTTTCATCGATGCTCCTGTTAATTGTAGCGTGATGTAATATGGTGCTATCCAACAGTAGAATATTTTTTTTAATTCGAACAAATAGTTCCTGAGATTAGCGCGTTCAACAAAATAACCTGTTGTATATGTACATGCGTGTGGCTGCGCCCACCGCGTTCTGTCCTGACAATAAATCAGTGTGCATCTAGCAAGCATGCGTTTCACTCGCTCTCTATATAATATTAGTATGGACGTGGTCATGCTGATCACTAAAACTAAAATATTGTAATTATTAAAAGTACAGTAACTTTCAGAGAACGTTAGAAAATTGTCTTCATGGAGATGAGGCGAAAAATTCCCTTGCCACAAAGTTTAAAAGAAATATTGAATTGAAAATTTAATATTTCTGAACGAGACGCATATTCCTGGAACAGCAACATCTGGCTTTCTGTAGCAGCTGAACTAACTGAGTAACGGAAATTGCATGCAACCGAGACGGGTGACAGTGGTCTTCATTTCTTGCAATTTCCGCACGTGTCATGAGAAAATATAACTCCACGAATCATAACAGTGTCTTGTCATATCAATTCTTTTACTGGTATCGTTTTGAGTGCTGTATTGTAGTCGGTACACTTGGTTGGTTTAATTCTTTGTATATTTTTTGCTGTTTCAATGTTGTGTTACTAAAGTCTAACTAGATAAAAAAATAGTATTTCTTAGAACAAAAGTAACTTTCGCAGTAAGAAAAAATTGCGTTTGCAATAATACCAACAGCCTGGCTCTCGAACACAAATCAAGGTGAAAGATAACTAAATCCGATGATCACATCAAACGAACGGTGGTACTTTCAATGTGCAATGCAGTACTAATCACTTAGTATGTAGTTCTGATTACTTTCGCTAGATGTCGCTAAGGTATGTTTTAATTTGTGTGCTCGTTGATAACTATCCATAAAGTATGAGTTTATTTAGTGGAAAACACGCTGTGTTTCTACTCTATAAAGTACAGAAAATATTTTATCTGTTAACCTGAATGCTTTATTGCTATATTAGAGCTATCGAATAATCATAAAGTATTGAGAACATCGCACAATGTATGAAACGAAAAGGTGTTTAATAAATAGAATAAACTACGACAAATGCCTTTAATCTCGGAATAAATTGAATCATCGCAAGAATGTTTAATCGTTAATCGATACATAGCGCTCGCCCTTTTTCGATATCACCATTCACACGGTCGTTTAATCTACATAACGCATTCAAATTCTATTTCCTTTTATTGAATAACTTTTTGACCTTTTTCCATTGTACCGCACTATTGAAGGGATCAGTCCGACTAATCCTTTCAGGTACATCTTACGTATTGTACGAGGCTTGTGGCGACAGATGACCAAAGAATTGTGAACCTTAACTTACACCAATATTCTTCTAATATTTAACGATAGTTGCATAAACGATATTTCAATTGTGGTTTATGTTTGACCCCTATAAATTGGGACATCAATTTTAAACTCTTTTACCACAGATATTTAAGGTCGGTTAAAGAAATTTTGCTAAGTCTACTTACGCTGCTTGTTCTCACAACGTAATTCTACGGCTAGATAAAGATAAAAGTACCTACACAGTGGGCAGTTTTACTTCTTCGACTGTAAATCTCGTCCCTCTGGAACGGGTTGCTCTCGAATATAAATTTATTAAGTATCACATAAAACAACCAAATATCTAAAATTTAGAGACTATTACATTTTCATACAAAAAATATATTCTATTAAGTTTACGAACAGTCCAGACTTTATCATGATCAGTATATCTACCGTGGGAGAGCCATGCTTCGGCACGAATGGGCCGGCTCGACCGGAGTAATCGTTGCCTTTCACTGAGTGAGTGAGGTTACCGGAGCCCAAATCCCCTCCCGCTGACTCGAGTTGGAGGGACCCCAAGGGCAGCAAGGCACTTGTGACTTTTGAGTTGCAGGTGTCTATGGGCGGCGGTAGTTGCTTACCATCAGGTGACCCGTCTGCTCGTACCCCCCTTGTAAAACAAAAAAATACATCATCTAGAACAAATAATTGTGTGATGAGCACGATTATCTGCATTAAGTCTGAGTGAAGTTTATCTACAGCATTTAGAGATATATAGGTATGTTTATCAGGAATCTGGTTACTGTAGTACAGGCGCAGCCTTGCTTCGCATCAGAATACCCTCTTTTTTTTCTTTTGTTTTTCCGTGCGGAAATCCTCTCGGATACCACCTATCGGTGGCATGTCGGACTCGAACCGACTAAAACCGCACGCCGTCTCGGGTACTAATAGCTGGGGAACCAGGTATACCCTAGAAAGGAAGTCCCTGGTGCCGTATCAGAATACCCTGTGTACAATGTGTCAAGTTATGATTATTAAATTATTATCTAACGTCTATAAGCTTACCTTGAATGTGTGAACAACAATATTTAGTGTTTTTAACAAGTTTCTTTAAATTACATCTTAAATTTTATCTTCACTTTATGTCCCGTAGAAAATTGGTCTTCTGAAGCAAGCCCTCTTAAGAGAAATGAATAATATTTCCTAGTGACTGTTACTTATCTAAAATGTTGTTGTATCTTAAATAATTTAGCCTAATAACAGCGGGGAGAACATTAGTGCTAATTAAAACACATTAAAACGGCTGCTATATTTTCGGTATAATCGCGGTAGAAAACAACAGCTCAGTAAATATCTTACACAACGGAAACTAGTTTAAAATAGGTATTAAATACATAGTAAGTAGAGATGTACCGGTTCGTTAAACATATATATATATACATATATATACCCACCTACCCACATATATATGTGGGTAGTTCCGATTACCAATACGGCTATAAGTGTCTAGATCTGCGAATATGAAAATCGGTACGGACGTCGAATTTTTTCTCGGTTAATGTCAATACCTGTAACCTTGAAACGACGATTGACGTTAAGGACTGACGAACCAACGTATTCCACCTGTCATTGTATGTATTTTTTTAAATAATTTCTTTTGACAAACAGATCACAAAGATTTGGTGGATAGTCAAACAATCAATATTTAAAAATATAACCATAGATAATGACTTTAAAATTTCACAAACTTAATAAATTAATATTTTAATGTATCTTAAAGATCTGTGTAAGATTCGCCAAAAAGTAACAGATACTTATCTTTTACTCTTTCGAGTATCCGCGGCTAGAGATACGAAAATCCGCCACATCACTAGTAGTAAGTTAATGTTATATACCAAACACGATGCCAAACTGTTAGCACCTGTCAAACCGGGCAAATGTTAATTATAATAAAGCAACTTTAAACAATACAAGTTAGTGAGTTGGTGAACGTTCAACGAGCACCTGTCGAAGGCTCGTCTTTCAAGTTTATACTCGTATAATACACCTCGCTTCTCGCCTACGCACTACAAATAATATTGTTAATGCCTACTCGCGTTCAATGAAAGCGTGGAAAGGGATTCAGTCTAAAAGGCGCCATTGATGTTGGCTCTTTTGTGTACGTGGTACTATGTTATGGTTTGGAATAATTGAATGACTTGTTCAGTAGTTTATTATATACAAAGCGAAGGATTACATTTACTTATAACTACTGACTAGCAATGTAATGTACATTTGTTAATCTTATCGCAATTTAAATCTCTTATAGGCAACCATTGAATGGATGTAAAACTGAGACTTACAATAGATATAAGAGGAGAAAAGTCTTTTATATTCAATTTAAGTACTGATAAAAGTGACTAATCTATGTAATAAAAATTCTAAAAACTTTTGTTTATTTTTGCTCAACATAAAAAGACAGGTGTTATAATTTTATCGCTTTTAATACTTTTTCATCAACAGCCTATAGCAGTCACCTGCTGGACATAGGCATCTCCTTAGAAAGGAGGTTTTGGCCTACTATACCACGCTGGCCAGACGGGTTTTCCTTATCTCTGCAGTGCTATTGTCCTGCGTAGTTTCCCTTAGTCGCCTCTTACGACACCCACAGGATAAATAGGTCACCACACGGACTTAGTTTTCAAAAAGGGGTAAAGTTCAATTTAAGAATAATACGTACTTTGAGCGTATCATTATTTTTGAAAATCAGCAATTTTTATCTATGCTTATTACTTTGATTGTAAAAAGAATCCAACTGCTTTGTTGAGTTCTAGAAGTGTAAGGTGAGTTAAATTTTCTCTAAATTATCTCTCTAACTCTCTCTCTCTCTCTCTCTCTCTCTAATCGTGTTATCACTATAACTTGGTACGTAACGAATATTTCTGTGTAGGCGGAACAAACCGACCATCCTACTGTTTGCTCAGCTTTAATTAAATGTCTGCTGGGCATGTAATGGGGTGTCTCTGTGTCTCTGTTACTGCGCACTGTACATTTGGGATGCAAAGGACATGTTCCGCAAGTATATAGTTATTTACTATGGATAATTAGGGAAATGTGAAGGTCCACAGCTAGTCTAGTTGTGGTATATTTAATGTAAGCTCGAAGTGTACCTGATCAACTCACCTTCTCGAACTTAAACTGTACATAGTCACATTAAAGTTATCCTTTAACACATTTCATTTAAATCTCTGAATATTATATTATCCCTATTACAGCCCAATTTATTAGTCGTACTAAATCACATTCCAGTCCCACATTAATTGTATTTCGCTCTGCACCGAACTCAAATTGACACACCGATCCTTCCCCAGCCCCCTTAAACTCCCTCTCTTAATTGTCTGGACGTGAATTTGTATAAAGTGTAACGATACACAAAGGTTATCAACAGTCCGTATATACTGTAATAATGATACATAGATTTAAAGATTATTAAATATTCATAATGTCTCTTGGGTAACTTACACAGTATTTTTTTATTGAAAATGAATGACGTTTTTTCATTTAACTTTATATAGACTTAAAAAAACATACTAATATTATAAAGAGGTAAGGTTTGTAAGTTTGTATGTTCGGGGTAATCTCCGCTCCGCTGATCCGATTTGAAAATTCTTTCACTGTTAAAAAAAAATCGGTTGTCTGTAAAGTTGGTTTACTGACGATAGTTGAACGTGACAACGTCATAAGAAAATACTGATGGAATGGTTGCATTTTTCAAAAATGTATTATTGTATACGAGTAGCAGCTGTCCACGCGGACGCATCGCTCACTCAAGTTCCTACTTGAGAGAGACAGATGTCGAACGCTGCCGAACGCGGAGGCCGATTGTGCCTCTTTGTCACTCGTTCCGCGCTCTTGCTTACACTTCACGCCTTAAATGGAACGCCTCAGAGCGAGGTAACGCCGCATGAGTCATGTTTTTTCGTGCGTGCAGCCGGCTCCATCGAATTATAAGACGTTGTCACGTCAAAAGATATAATATCCCTGAGTGCTACAGACTGTTTTATACCGACACACGCAGGTGGAGCCGCGGGCAAAAGCTAGTTAAAAATATTGTCAAAACGCCACTTAAAGGCTATTTGTGAAACTGATTGAAGCAAATAAATAGGGTTTCGACTATTGAACGAAGGAAGTTTATAAGGCTCTGATATCAGCTCGGCATCAAACGTGGGTTTTGTCAACTACTTCAGCTAGGTCTTCACTCATCTCTTTGTCTAAATTCTTAACTGACGTTGTACTTTTATTAATTTCCAATATAAACATTTATTTTTAAAAGTATATTAAGCGGGGGCCATATCAATAGTATTCAGAAACATTTAAAATGCAATTAATAAAGTCATATACTATGTTGTACATTGAAGAACCTGGTGGTGTACATATTATGAGTCTACGAAGTAGCTAATCACAGATCTTGCAGGTAATATAGTTATTTAGATTGCTCCAAGTGAGAAGTGTCACGACCGACTGTCGAGAAACTAATTCCGCGACACCTACTCTAAGAACTTACAGCTCTGACAACAAACTTGGCCCGTGTTGTGAACAGTTGCACCTTGCCGGCTTTGTAATCAACTTGTTGAACAATAACACTTCTGTGTTCAATTCCGAATGTCGCCTGAAAGTTATGTTGAACTTACTTAGTATGTGTGCTGGATTAAGGCAACTCTTTAATACTCTATTGGTTTACCTTGATGGTGACAGGGATGGGTACGCGTAAGCAGTCGCAGTAGCAACAGTTTCATATACGAGTCACTGATCATATCTCACTGTACTGTTTGGATAAAATAAGATAAGGAAAACTGACAGAGATAGAGGTAAGGGATGAGAAGATAAGAAGTAAGATGGGCAATATTACAGGCGTACTGGGAAATGTACCTATAGGTCACGTGATTGGAGTGGCTACTAGAACATGGGGCAGCAGCTAGTCCTATGTTTTAAATATAAAAACGAAATGGGTTTTACTTTTGTCTTTTGAAAAAAAATTATTAAATTTTACTAATTCATTTGTGTAAACCTTACACAGATGAGCCTCTATTTCGTCAACCACTAGCGAGCGTTTAGAGGTTAACACATTGCAAAGTTAAGCAATCCTATCCTGGTCAGTCTATGGATGGGTGACCATTCTTAACACATTGAGACCTTCCGTGCTTTGGAGAGTCCTGGTTGCCATATGAACATATGTAGCAATCGTTACAGTTAGTTGGAGCCCTAAAAGTGCGGCTACAGTCTATCTACAGAACTTCGATATCGCCTAGTGCTTGGGTTGCGGAGATCGGATGGCACTCTTCGTAAAAAAAAAATCCATCCCCTCCACCCGCATTAGTTGGCCAGCCGCGAGGGGGCGGCGTCCGCGTGTGCCGGACGTCGCCTAAAGAGAGGATAATTGGAGACGGAGCCCGCACCAGGAGCGGGCCGGCGCTGGGAGGGGTCCAGAAGGCGATAACTACCTGGACCCCTCCTAAACTGGAAGCGCAAAGAGGGCACACCGTGTGGTTTTAGTCGGTTCGAGTCCGACACACCACCCCGCCGCAAACCCCGGTGGGGTGACGGTCCGAGGGGATTTCCACACGTTAAAAAAAAAAAAAAAAAAAGGGTTTGTTTCAAGTTTTCCTTCTCTTTGCAGTGCTGTTGTCCTGCGTAGTTTGCTCCCTTTGTCGGCTCTTACGACACTTATAAGTGAATGAAGGCTTTTATTTATTTATTTATTATTCAGTGTACAATGAATATTTAATTGGCTAGCAAGAAGCCTTACTATAAAAGTTTTTACGACTTACAAGAGATTGAAATAACTTACTACTGAAATAACTTTTTGTGTGTGTTCCCCTCTTCGAAGTGATTCTTTGAAAAGTAGTTAAGTGGACACCGTTCTTTGCTCTCAGTACCGCAGTACTCATGTTTGGTAATCTGGGCACTTACAACATCTTACCGCGACTATAGAACCGACCACATCGCACTAGTTTTAGTCGTTTGTTTTTTCTATTGACAGTCACGGTTTTAAAGAAAACCCTTTTCGTAAACTAGGCTTATGCATAAAATGGTTTTGTTGTACATATTTTAAAAATCATACTTATCTACAGGTTATTACAAAGAGTGTAGCCATATTTCAGGGTCGTATCTAATAGGCTACGTGAATAATACAAAGGTAGCAATGTCAAGAAAGTTCTTAGTAATATCTAGCTAACGCCTTTTGGTTTATCGTTAATTTGTTTAATTTCTGTAACTATTAGGTTATATTCAGGCGTTTGGCCTATTGTTTATCAGTTGTCTGATTACACAGGCTTTACCTAATTTAGGATCAGACAAACGTATATTTCAAATATGTCAAGTTATTATAGTTACCATTAATTAAGTTTATTGAAATAATAACATAAACTGCCTAATAAATACTTTATCTACAATCGGTCCCCTTAGGAGCGATGTAGTGACCACAAGCCCAGTTGAAACTTCATAGAATGTAAAAATATCAGAGACGATTGATTAGTTATGGACTCGACAGAAGCCCCATATGGAGGGTTGTGTGAAGCGCCTCTATTGCACAATTGTCTTTTTTAGGTAATCTGAGAAATTCTTAGCTGTGCTGTCAAGGTGTGGTCACGGGGTACGTGGTTAACGTTGACTGATAGTTAACTAGAGCAATTAGAATACTAGGATAATTAACAATAAAACAGAACCATAACTAAGCGTAAACGCGTCATTTTAAACTAGGAGTCGTTGTTGACAAAATATCTAAGTGAATATGCAGCGCAATATAATATATAGCGCGGTAATACATTTGGTCGTGTATTCGATTCCTGATCAGTACAAATATTTGTAGTTGTAATTGATTTTATATTGTAGTGTGTAATGTATACATATAAAGGAACAATATAATACTAAAACATGTTTCAACATGTTATAGCACCTTCAGTTGGAACCACTCTTCGTCTAGATCTAGAAAGAGTTGTGTTAAACATTACGTACGAGAATATTATTATTACAAGTCCAGGTGTTCCTGATCTCAGCGCTGCTTCATGATTATCTAACAATAATTTCCTAAGCACACATCAGTCTTGGCAGACCAGGCGTGGACGCTCACGTTCGCCACGAGTGCGGCGAAGCAGTGCTGCACGCTTGCTTCCTCATCAACGAAGGCGCCCTCGTCACAGCCACAGCAGATGACCAGATCCATTTGTGGACCTTCCGACAGAAGTGGCCCCAGAGACTGCACTCACTCAAGTTCCAGAGAGAAAGGTATTTACTAATGCACTGTATTAAATTATGCTTTTACTAGCTCGTTTTGTATATTTAGAATTTAGATGTTGAAGACTTTTTGTAGCTAAGAAGTAAAATAAAAACAGTAATAAATAAGTATTACTCGTATAAACCAACGTGTCTTTAAACACTCTTTCATTGTCAATGAAGCTGTTTAATTCTTGAAATCATATAGCTTGTCGATTAAGTTGATACATAAAGCACACTAAATGTGATTCACGCATACAAAAGTCATCAACATCCGAACATAGATTTAAAACTTCAAACAACCTGCACTAGTCTTGCTAGGACTTTAGATTGGACTCCACAGTTCACTACACACATAATATACTACATCAACAAAACCTACCACTGACTATTACTCATTCGATCATAAACTTTTCATAAAAACACTAATTTTATTGGCTAAAGCAGAATATTGAAATAACCGTGTTTTTAAAAATCGTTAAAATATAGTGCTCGTCAGATTTTGCCTGTTGTAGCTGGCTTAGGGTCTTCAGGTTAAATGAACAGACGTACTATTGAATTTACAGTAACTATTACATATAATGTATACTACACTACAAGAGTCCCCTATTTATGGCGGAGATTCAGAGAGATCCAGACGAGTCGAGTAGATACAATTGTATACTTCTCAATATTCCTACATCTAATACACGACAAAATTGTAAGTTCGAGCTTATATGGTCGCGTATGTAACGAAACCATAACGCGATTCAGCCAGACGGCACAACGCCATCTATCGAGGGATGGTTAATACTTTTATTACTATTTAAATCTAATAAATCCGTTACTTCTTTTAAATCTATGACGATACGGAAAAAAATAGCAAATAATGAACATGGCATAGATTCTGATAAACCGTATCGTTCATCTCACACATACTCGTACAATCAACACATATAAAATCAGTCAAATTGACAGCTCCCTCTGAGTTAAAAGAGACTTTATACCCTTCTACTCACTAACATTGAACTACCAACGGTAACTTAAGGCACGACCTAGCTATATAATATTTATTACATTTGTTACACGGATGTTACGTAAAATGTATTAATACTGGGTCGTTAAAAAGAGGAAACAAGCATTTTCAATTTTCATTTAAACTTCTTGAGCAGTAAAGCCAACCGTTAAAACACAATTAAGTGTGTCAAGAAGTTGAGAGTTTAATAACCAGTTGTCTTGACAATTACAGGCGGTTAGTTGCCTGAAACAAGTAAAGCGGTTACCAAAAGACTTCAATTATAACTTATTAACTTACTAGGCGAACAGTTTACTGCTAATTGTATGCTGTTTGTAACAAGTTTCTGTTCTTGTTACGGCTGTTTGAACTTAGCAATGTAATAACCATCGTTCAAAGCTTTCTCACATTAAATGACCGTTCGAAAACAGCTGAGGTAAAAATTACCTCATTTGTTAAGTTTAAGATATATTTTTTTGTTTAGTTTGTTTGTTAGGTTTAGACTTTTTTTAAATTACTGTGCGCCTGTCTGACGTCAACACTCCCTGTGAATGCGATCATTTTCGGACGAGAAAGGTGAAGAAAAAAGATAATACGAGGGCGCTAGGGTAAGTAAGAAACGGAACTGACACTGCCATAGCTCGAAGAGAGCGGGGTCTCGCGTACCTGTACGACCGTCCTGGGTGAGGCCTCTTTTTTATGGTTTAGTGGCAACATCATCAACTCACATCTCAAGAGCCACAACTAATCTAGAATCAGGGAAGGAGCTTTGGGCTCCGGTAACCTCACTCAATCGGGGAAAAGCAACAAAACTAAAAATACACCGGCCGGCTCTCCCACAAGAAAAGGACAAAATCTGTTTTGGAGACAGACAACGGAACTCTTCAAACAATGACAGCAAAGCAAACGCAATTGCTGCTAGGTTTTTAGTGGTCTTTGTTAATATTGTTTGAACTTAGTTATACTTCAGTTAACTATCAGTTTGATGTGCGAGTGGAGTCCACGAGCAAACAGTTTGCCATGTACAGTTAGTCTATTACGGCTGGAGGTGGTCGGCGTCAGGTCGTATATTCGATTCCGCTCTAGTTGTTTTATGGGCATTACTTAGTCCGGACCGTTTTATGGGCAGCGCCATCTGCGCAGTGTTGTGGCAACTGCCTTGAGTTTTTTGTTTTATTGTTACCGCGGAACACTGTTGTATACTGCCGTAAAACTCATTTACGCAGCAGCCATTCAAAACTTTGTTACATCATTAATTACTTCTCTATGTGCTATAAAAAATAGAAATAAAACATCTTTTTAATGCCTCTTTTCCTCTCTCTACCTCAATCTGCCCTGTAGCGGTGATTTCCTGAATGTTTATTGATATACTAGCTGGTACCCGCGACTTCATTCGCGGCGTTTTGCGAATTAGCAAAATCGCTGACTTAGTGGGTTCGATTCCCGGACCGGACGAAAATTTTAAAGAGTTTTGTGAGAGGCAAAAGGGCCTAAGTTGCTCCTTATATAGTCAGCTACCTGGTAGTAAAATATTATCAAAATCGGTCCAGCCATTTAGGAGATAAACAGAACAAACAGACAGACAAAAAAAAACTGTTATTAAGGTATCATGCAAATAACCGTGTGAGCATGAAAAAATCCTATTATTTCGACATTAGTCACTTACCATCAGGTGACTCGTCTCCACGTAACCCCCCCCCCCCCCTCTCATGCAATAAAAAATGAATGCTCGGGTCCGGCTTGAACCGAAACTACTGTACCAAACTGTCGATTCACCTAGTTTCGCAGCACAAATTACCTTCTGACAACACTTATTCTTCTTACTCTCTTACTAGTATCACTTATTATACTTTTAGTACAATATACTTTCTTATGTGTTACCTTCTCGTAACAATTATAAAATTTAGAACATGACAAAAATGTCACTGTTATAAATTCAGGGCCAGTACTACAAAACTCTGATCATTATGGACGACGGGGGTTAACATCCGTATATTTGCATCTGTGATTACACAAAGAGGGTCGATTACGCGAGTTCGCATTGAAGGCCCTCTCATTACCCGAAATTTTCCTCCCAACTTAATTGGATGCATTCCATTCCTCCTTCAGCTATGTATGATTGTTTTGAACGTGTTATGGATGAAGTATTAGTTAAAGTAACAAGATCAAAAAAGAAGGTCATCATCTGTGGTGACTTCAATATTAACCTATTGGAAAATTCAAGTATAGTAACCAAGTTCAAGGCACTTTTTCAATCATACAATCTGAAGAACTTGTTCTTGGAGCCTACACGAATCACTGCCACCACTGCCACATGTTTGGACAATATATTTACAGATATTGTTATTAAGGACAAGAAAATAATCAATCAATTACATGCTGACCACTGTGGTCAATTAGTATCTTTCTGTGATAGGTATGAAAAAGTGTCAGAAAAAAGAATTGTGGTGATACCTAAAACCGCAAAGCGTTGTGAAAACTTTAAGGATAAACTTAAAGCTGCTTTTAATAATTCAGTACTCTGTGTAGAGAATAACCCTAATACTTATTATAATAGTTTTTTTGAAACTTTCTCTTCAACATTTAACACCATTTTTACACCAAAAACGCTAGTGGTTAAAGGTAACGCCACATTTAGTGAATGGGCTACCCCTGGCTTACTCAAAAGTAGGAAAAGATTATACGAGCTATACGATGAGAGGAATTATAATAAAAGTGAACAGTTTCATAATTATGTTAAAGAATATTCGAAGCTGTTTAGGAAACTTTGTAAACTGGCTAAGTCTCGTTTTATTAGTTCAAAGATTAAAAGTAGTAATGATAAGATTAAAACCACTTGGAAAATTATTAATAGTGAAACTGGCAAAGATCCAAACCGTGATAATGAATTTAATTTAAACATAAACAATAAATTTATCACATCAAATGCTGAGGTTGCTGCTGCATTTGAGAATTTTTTTACTAACATTCCTGTATCAACTACTAAATCTTTGAACTCCTCACCATACCTTGCAGAATCAATTTTAAAAGAGAATGTTAGAAGAATTGATAGTGAATTTAAGTTCCAATATGTGTCCCCCTTTGAAATTATTAAAGCCTTTAACACTATTAATGTTAAAAAAACAACCGACCTATGGGGAAATTCTGTTTTAATTACTAAGACAATTATATCTCTTGTGGCTAATCAATTGTCATTTACATTTAATCAATGTGTTGATAGTGGTGTATTTCCTGATCTTATGAAGTCTAGTAAAATTATTCCCTTATTCAAATCTGGTAGTACATCTGACCCAACTAACTTTAGACCTATCTCAGTACTACCAGTATTTAGTAAAATTTTTGAAAAAAATATGTATGATCAATTGCACAGTTTTTTTAATAATAATAATTTATTGCACAATAGACAATTTGGTTTTACAAGGGGTCGCTCCACAACTGATGCTAGTGTTGAGCTAGTAAAACATATATTTGATGCCTGGGAGGATGCCCACGATTCTCTAGGTATCTTTTGCGATTTATCTAAGGCTTTTGATTGTGTTGTTCATGAAACGCTGATCAGGAAATTACAGCACTATGGTATCAAAAATAAAGCCCTGGAACTACTTGCCTCATATCTATGTAATAGGATTCAAAAAGTTGATATTAATGGTGAGCGGTCTCCAGGCTCTGTGATAGAAATGGGCGTTCCACAGGGTTCTATTCTCGGCCCTTTTTTGTTTTTAGTATATATTAACGACTTACCTCACTTTGTCAAGGACAATCTCGAGATTGTGTTGTTTGCAGATGATACATCACTATTATTTAGACTAAAACGGACACTTTCTGATTTCACATTTGTAAACAGCGCCATTTCGAAAGTGGTTCATTGGTTTGATGTCAACAATTTACTATTAAATGAACAAAAAACTAAGTGTATACGTTTCACTATGCCAAACGTCAAGCCAGTGAAAACTACTGTGATAATTAAGAATGTCGGGCTGGACCTTGTGGACACTACGACATTTTTAGGTATAACACT